TGCAACGTAATATATATATATATATATATATATATATATATATATATAAGATGCATGCAGCACAGTGCATGCGTTAGAGTGAAATAACAAAAAACCAGAAAGGAGACAGTTGCTCGCCCCCGGGAGCGCAACATAGAGAAAAAGGAGACAGCAGCAGAAGCAGCAGCAACAGAGACAGCAGCAGATACAGCAGCAGCAACAGAGACAGCAGCAGAAACACAGCAGCAACAGAGACAGTAGGGGGAGACAAAAACAAAAACAAAAACAAAAACAAAAACAAAGAAAAAAAAAGAAAAAAAAAGAAAAAAAACGAAAAAGACAAAGACAGGAGAGGCCTCTAGGATCTCACCTGGCTGCTGAGTGCCTTCTCTTCAGTGCTATCACCAGCAGCAGCAGCAGCAGCAGCAGCAGGAGCATCAGCAGCAGCAGCAGCGGGAGCAGCAGCAGCAGCAGCAGCAGCAGGAGACAGTCTCCGTCTCCTTGCTGCATTGAATGCCCGCAGCTCCATCGCCACTGCTTTTAGTTTATCCTCTAAAAAACCCAACTCCTCTTCTGTACATACACACAACACAACTGCTGCTGCTGCTGCTGCTGCTGCTGCTGCTGCTGCTGTTGCTGCTGCTACTGCTGCAGTTGTTGTTGGGGGTGATGCTAATGCTGGAATGAATGCTGCTGCTGCAGCTAGCTGGGCGAACGGCAACAGCAGCTCTGCTGCAGCAGCAGCAGCAGCTGCTGCTGCTGACGCTGCTACTACCGCAACTACTACTACTACTCCTACTGCTGCTGCTACCGCTGCTGCTGCTGCAGCAGCAGAGCTGCTGCTGTGATCCCCATGCTGCTGCTGCTGCTGTTGGCTGTGCTGCTGCTGGTGGTCGAGCAGCAGCTGCTGCTCTTGCTGCTGCTGCCGTGAATCCTGTAATAGAGGCTCCTTGAAAGCAGAAAAGCCCTGCTGCTGCTGCTGCTGCTGCTGCTGTTGCTGCTGCTGCTGCTGCTGCTGCTTTGCAGGCGTGCCAGCTAGCACAACTGTCCTCGCGTCTGCTGCTGGCTTCACTGCAGCAGCAGCAGCAGCAGCAGGTGCAGCAGCAGCAGCAGGAGGAGCTGCAGAAGAGACAAGAAAGAGACAGAGACAAAACACAGGAGACAGCAGGAGCAGCACTAAGATAC